AGAGAGAGAGAGAGAGAGAGAGAGAGAGAGAGAGAGAGAGAGAGAGAGAGAGAGAGAGAGAGAGAGAGGTTGGCGGGTACAGCCGTCCGGTTCGAAGAGAGAGTGATGGTAAAAGCACCGCGCCGGGGGAGAGGAGAAGAGGGGGACGAGCGTGCCAGAGGAGACGACGAGAAGAGGAGATGGTGGACGAAGGTGAGTTGATTTTTTTTTCCTTTTTTATTTTTTATTTCTATTTTTTTATGTTTTTCTTTTTTTTTTCTTTTTTTTTGGGGTGGGAGAGGCGATAGAAGGAAGAACGACGTCCGGAGGAAGTCGGGATGGGGAGAGAGGGTCGGAGGGTCGGGATGAGGATGGGGAAAGAGGGTCGGAGGGTCGGGATGGGAAGGGGAAAGTCGGGATGCGGGGGGGAGTCTGGATTCGGGTCGGAAGACGGACGACGCTGGGATAGGGGAAGGGGAAGTCGGGATGGAAAGAGAGAAGGAAATCGGGATGCGGAGAGGGGGTCGAAGAGTCGGGATGGGGAGGGGGAAGTCGGGATGCGGGATTGACGCAAGAGAGGGTCGGATGGTCGGGATCGGGAGGGGGAAGTCGGGATGCGGGGCGGAATCTGGATTCGGGATGGGGAGGAGGGGTCGGAGAGTCGGAATGGAGAGGGGGAAGTCGGGATGCGGGATGTGCGCAACCCGAAGACCACCGACGTTGGGATAGCGGAGGGGGAAGTCGCGATCGAGAAGTTGTCGGGATGGGGAAGTCGGGATGCGGGGGGGAGTCTGGATTCAGGTCGGAAGACGGACGATGCTGGGATAGGGGAAGGGGAAGTCGAAGTAGGGATGGAAAGAGAGGAGGACGTCGAGATGGGGAGAGGGGGTCGGAGAGTCGGGATGGGAGGGGGAAGTCGGGATGCGGGATGGACGCAAGAGAGGGTCGAAGGGTCGGGATGGGGAGGGGGAAGTCGGGATGCGAGGGGGAGTCTGGATTCGGGATGGGGAGGAGGGGTCGGAGAGTCGGAATGGGGAGGGGGAAGTCGGGATGCGGGATGGGCGCGACTTGAAGACCGATGACGTCGGGATAGTGGAAGGGGAAGTCGGGATCGAGAAGTTGTCGAGATGGGGGCGACAAGGGCGAAGGGGGCAACGGAGTCGGGATGGGGAGGGACAGGTCCGGAGGTCGGGATAGCGAGGGGAGGAGGTCGGAATGGGGAGAGAGGATCGGAGGGTCGGGATGGGGAGGGGGAAGTGGGGATGCGGGATGGACGCAACCCGAAGACCAACGACGTCGGGATAGCGGAAGGGGAAGTCGGGATCGAGAAGTTGTCGGGATGGCGGCGACAAGGGCAAAGGGGGCAACGAAATCGGGATGAGGAGGGACAGGTCCGGACGTCGGGATAGCGAGGAGAGGAGGTCGGGATGGGGAGAGAAGATCGGAGGGTCGGGATGGGGAGGAGGAAGTCGGGATGCGGGATGGGCGCGACGAGGTCGGGGAGGGGGGAAGTCCGGATTGATTGATTGATTCGTTGGTACGAGGGGGGTTTGTGGGTAAGGGGG